TTCATACTTGTAATATTGTTTTATAACATTTTAATTTTATCATTTTATATAGATTATTTAACTAATTTGAAAATGTTCAGTATTTTGGAAATTAATTTACAACTTGGTTTTATAATTATGTTAATCTTTTCACTTAAGAAGTCCCCAGAGATCTTAACAGCGTTTTCTTAAGCAGCCACCTAAGTGAGGTGTCAGCTACGTCCACATGGAAGAAGTATGTCAACCTGTGTGATCCAAGGCTAAATAATAAAAGCCAATACCAGAGGAAGAAATGACATTAGAGTTTAAAGTTGGAGGACCCTGTGTGCAGAACGCATGTGGATTAGTCTCCGGTGAATATCCTCTGACCATTGACTAGGGGTGTGAATGACTGCTGTTAGAGTGCATTGGAAAGTGGAAAATGCAAATATAGTTAGGTTAAAACTTGACACCTTATCATTCTCCCTTTTGACTCATTTAAAATATGTTCTAGTGTTTAATATCTTTTGCTTTCTTTTCAATGGAGGTTTTCCTTTGTTTTATTTAATTGTTGTTTTCTGTATATGAAACCCAGGATAGGTAAATTTTGAAGACAGTAAATGGATTAATAATTTCTTAGGGTTATCGCTAGGAGGTTGGGTTGCCATTAATAATGAGAATAATGAGTACATGAAAGAAGAAAATGTTCGAAAATGGGGTGTGGTGGTGATTACACAACTCTTTTAATATTTTAAACCATCAAATTATATGGTATATGAATCATATGTCAAGAAAACTGTTTATAATAAATTAGTGCCAAAAGAAGTCAGCTGCATGACCACTTACATTTATTTTCCCTTTCGAAATATATAGTAGGTAACAATTTATATATTTTGGCTAAATTCTGAGCATATGAGGAGGAAGATACTTGAAATAGGGAGATTTTAGAGGGAATTTTTTTTTTTTAAATCAGAAGGCTCTTGGTTATTAAATTAAATCAAGATATTCCACTGAAAAGCAGAAAACATTCTAAAATGGGAGATTCTAAATAGAAAAAAAGAGAAGAATATGATGACTACAATGGGGATGTTGGAGTATTGCATCCTAATTTAACTTTATTTATTGCATAAGGGAAAATAAGAAGCCAGTTTCAACACTGAGAACATTTTAATGGTTTACTGTCTAAATAGATGATAAAACTTGGACCTGGCTAAGTTTTATGAAAATATCCACATAAAGACTTTAGAAAACTGGCAATAATACCTAATATTTTTCCAAATTTAAGATTTTGTTCTAGCATTCTACATATCTTATCTCATATGAGTCTAGGAGTTACCAAGAACCTGCCACAACTTATTATTACTTTTAAATTAAATCACACAGGAGCCATAATCTTGATCACCGATTCTGCGACTGTGGTTATTCTGAGTGAAACAAAAAGTCAACCACATACAGAACAGACATAGGGAGCCCAGCAGGCTGTGAGATGTTCACTCATTCATCCCATTGTGAACATCACACAGAGTGTAGGGCGTTGCTACAACAGGTGATATCGTTTTGGAAATAAACTCTGGATTTGAGATTTGTAGGCTGTAGGTTTTGTGTATGAAGAAGCTACACATAGAACAAGAGGCAGTCACTTGAGCAGACTGTGTGGCTCGTTCTGTAGTTAGTCTCGGGAACCCATTGCGGCAATTCTACCCCATCCTGTTTAGTGGTTATGAGTCAGAATTGACTTGGTGGCTGTGAGAATTGTGGCTTAAAAGAAGGACAGGTGTACCCTAGGGTTATATCCCGTGAACATACTTATCCCATCTGTATGCTGAGCAAGTAACTCAAGCAGAGCGAGTCTATGAAGAAGCCTGGGACATCAGGTTGGGAAGAGGTCTCCTTAACAACCTGAGATATGACACAGCCTTCCTTGCTGAAATCCAAGCGAATTTGAAGTATTTACTGATGAAGATTTATGACTACAGACTTCAATATAGATAGCATCTCAACATATAGAAAACAAAAATCCCCATACCTGTATCAATAAGCAACACTATGATACATGGAGAAAAAGTCGAAGTTGTCAAGGAATTCATTTTGCTTGGATCCACAATCGATGCCCATGAAATCAGTAGTCAAGAAATCAAAGGATGTATTTCTTTGGGCAAATCTGCAAAAGAGCTCCTCAAAGTGGTAAAAGCAAAAGTATCATTTTGAAGACTAAAGGGGCACCTGAACTAAGCCACGGTACTTTTCAATGGCCTCATATGGGAGTGAAAGCTGCACAATGTATAAGAAAGACAGAAATTTGATATCTTTGGATTATAGTGCTGGCAAAGAAAATTTCAGTATTAAGGACTGACAGAAGAACAAACAAATCTGCATTGGGAGAAGTACAGCCAGAATGCTCCTGGAGGCAAGGTTGGCTGGTGAAATTTTGTCTCACTTACTTTGGACATGTTATTAGGAGGTACCTATCTCTAGAGAGGGCCCACCTGATCAGTAGAGGGTCAGTGGAAAGAGACACCAGGAAGCTCTGAATGAGGTGAATGACAGTGACGGCAACAAAGGTCCCAACACACTAGTTAATGTGCAGTTATTGGGCAGTGTTTCATTCTGTAGTACTGACCCCATGGCATTGAGAAGCTAGTCACAGATTTATTGCAATTTGAAAAGAGATGACCTAAAAACCAAAACAAAACAGGGATATCTCAGGGACTCAATCTTTTTTATTTAATTTCCATTAGATTTTATTTTTTTTTGTGTTCTATGAAAAGTTTTTCTTTTTTTTTAAAACAGTGTTATTGGCACATCATTTACATATCATACAATTCAATAGTTCAGTCATTCAATTATATCATGGAGAATTGCACAATCATTACCACATCAGTGGTGCAATCACAATCAGTTCTTTTTTTGGTTTTGTTTTGTTTTTCTTTAATCATTTTATTAGGGGCTCATACAACTCTTATCACAATCCATACATACATCCATTGTGTAAAGCACATTTGTACATTCATTGCCCTCATCATTCTGAAAACATTTGCTCTCCACTTACGCCCCCGTCATCAGGTCCTCCTTTTTTTCCCTCTCTCCCCCTCCCCCCTCCCTCGTGAGCCCTTGATAATTTATAAATTATTATTTTGTCATATCTTGCCCTGTCCCATGCCTCCCTTCACCCACTTTTCTGCTGTCCGTCCCCCAGGGAGGAGGTCACATATACTTTCTTGTAATCGGTTCCCTCTTTCCAACCCACTCTCCCTCTACCCTCCCAGTATCATCACTCACCCCACTGGTCGAAGGGATCCTCCGCCCTGGATTCCCTGTGTTTCCAGTTCCTATGTGTACCAGTGTACATCCTCTGGGACTCAATCTTAAAGCGATTATGGACAATTGAGTTATATCTGAACTAGACAATAAGGGATTCACTAGTGAAGTGGCCGTTGGGATATTTGTGGAGCTTGGTTGTGGCTGTCCTGTCCAGGAAGAGACAGATCTTGTGTATTAGTTTCATAACAAATTAGCGTATACAGGGTGGCCTAAAACAGTAACATTATTTTCTCATCGCTCTAGAGCTTAGGAATTAGAAAGTGAGTTATTATTAGAGCTTTGCTCTCTCTGAAGGACGGAAGAAAAAAAAAACCGGAAACGAAACTAAACAAAGGTCACTGCCATCAAATAGATAGATTTCAACTCATAGTGATCCTGAAGGGCTGAGTAGAACTCTCCACGTGCCTTTCCAAGGCTGACTTTTCAGACGCCATGGAGAGGATTCTGTCTGATAGCGGACAGGGTGGAACTTCCCCTGTGGGTTTCAGAGACTGCCCCTCTTCACTGGGGTAGAAAGCCATGTCTTGCTCCCACCAGAGTGGCTGTATGAAAAGAGAAAGCTTCATTAGTCCCTGGATAGTGGCTGGTGGGTTCCAACTGCTTACCTTAGCCGCACCAAAATCAATCTACTTTTCCACCAAAGCGCCTCTATTCTCGGAAGGCAGTTGGGAAGAAGCCTGTCTTGCATCTTCCAACTACTGGTGGTTTCTGGGAATTGGTAACATTCTTCAACTTGTCCCAATAGCACTCAAACCTCTTTACCTGTCTTCATATGATCTTCTCTCTCTTGTTTTTATGTCCTCTCATCTCCTTTTAAGAGCAAGTAATTTAGGGACCACACTAAAACTAGAATGATTTCATCACGAGATCCATTGGCAATTACATCTGCAAAGATGCGATTTCCAAACAATGTTACATTTGGAGGTTCCTAACTATTAAAGCCATAAAGGAGCCCTGGGGTGCTAACCCAAAGCCAGCAGTTTAAAACTGCTGTGGGGGGGAAGGGGACTATCTGTTTCTATAAGGATTTACAGCCTCAGACCCTACGAGTTGCTGAGAGTCGGAATCAACTCTGACTCGCAATCAACTCTATTCCAGGTGATTTTGTATTTTATTTAATTTATTTATTTTTAAACCATGGTGTTGTTAAAATGTGGGTGCTAAAAGATTAACGTTAGCTTCTTTGATCCAAAAGGAAAACAGTAAGGCAGGATTTAATTCTTCCATGGGAACTTCCCAGACTATTTTCAGTTTCACGTCTTTTATCTTTCTTTCATCCTCTTCCTTCTCTTCGTTTTCTTTTCCGACTCCAACACATAACTCTGAGGCGATTTTCCAGACCGCTCACGTGAACTTTCCTCCCTCCCTCCCACCGGAAATCCCTCAGGTGAGCTTCCCTGCCACCGCAGAAGCCGCGTCCGCAGGCTGAAGTCCCGCCCCGAGGTCCTCCCCGCCAGAGCCTCCCCTTGTCTTTTGGCTTTTCCCGGTCAGGCTTGTGTTCTCTCGGTACCAGAGGCTGACGAGCACAGGGACTGAACGCAGGGCCGCGCAGACCCGCTTGTTACAGTCTAGCGCGATGCGCCGGCGCCCGAAGCCACGCCCCCAAGAGCTCGCCGCGTCTCCCTGGAAACGGCGCTGCGCGTAAGCCCGGGCTGGGAAGGGCGCGCTTGCGCAGTGCTCGGCGTGTGCTCGGATGCAGGGCAAAGGCCGTGGCCGTTGGGTTCCGGCAGACCATGGCCCACTTCTCCCCCGACGACGAGGTGATGCTGCAGGAGATGCTGAGGCAATTGTTCCAGAGCGTGAAGGAGAAAATCACGGGTGCTCCTTCTCTGGAGTGCGCCGAGGAGATCCTGCTACATCTGGAGGAAACCGATGAAAATTTCCACAAGTAAAATTACTTTTAATGTCCTAAGCAAACAAACCGGGTGTCCAGGAAAGATCAAATGTAGTTAAAGAACATTCGTTTGATTATGGTTGTTAAACTAGTGCCCAAGCTAGAGATCCTTTTTTGTTGTTCCATTTATAGACCCAAATGTCGAACTGATCTCTGTTTTTCCTGTCTGTACTTCCTTTCCAACACTTCTGCCCTGTTTTTACTGCCACTATAAAGAAACCCTGATTCTTCATGTCTTCCCTGGGCAATATTGTAATTTAAATGATAAATTATTTACAATCTTTTAAGAATATTTCTATTGCTTCAAGGGATTCTTGATAGTTTACCTACAAGCAATGATTTCCCGAGCTCCCTTGTTCTTTGGGGCTTATTTGGGCAGCAGCAAGGATCCACTCTGAGAACTGACTGCAAGGGCGACTGAAGGGAAAAGGGTATCAATGTCCTTAGAAGTAGCTTCGCACCTGGTTGTTGTTAGGTGCTATCAGTCGGTTTCAGCTCATCTCGACCCTATTACAACGGACCAAACTCCGCCAGTGCAGCAACATTCTCACAGCTGTTCTTTCGGTTGGAGTTCTGCGTTGCAGCCCCTGTGTCCAGCCCCTGGCTCCTCTAAAGAGGCAAGCCCAGGCCCAAAGTCTGTAACCTGTGCCAGGAAGATTGGAGCCCTCCCAGAGGCACAGACTGCCCTGCTGCTGGGAGCATT